CCAATATCTTGTAAATTTTTGAGAACTTACTTGTCCTTGGCTTGAGAAGGCACATTAGTCAGATTTTGATAAGTACAAATTAATTCACCTACTCATCATAAATAGATGAATTCAGTATTTCATGTATTTAAGATGGTATTATTAAAACTTAATCAAATAACCTAAAGCTAAATATTAGCAAAACTGTTACAGAGTAATAAACCATAAAGTAATACTAGATTTCTCATCCTTCAAAAATCATTTAGGGATGGGTGTGGTGGCTCACGCCTGTAATCCTAGCACTTGGGAGGCTGAGGCAGGAGGATCACTATGAGTTCAAGAACAGCCTGGGCTACATAGTGAGTTCCAGGTCAGTCTCAACTACATAGTGAGACTCTGTCTCAAAAAACAAAACAAAACAAAAAAATTATTTAGGGCCAGGGATTTAGCTCAGTGGTGCTGCCGCCTGCCTTGCAAGTACAAGGACACAAGTGTGATCCCTGGTACCCCCCAAAAAAATCATTTAATTTGTATTTCTTTCCATTATAAATTTCTTTTCAAGTGAAATTCAGAAAATAATTGCATGTATACATACTTTCATTTTATAAAAAAGAATATCCACATAAAATTGTTTATCCAGATAATGAATTTTACCTTTTTGGGGCTGGGAATTTAGCTGAGTGGTACCATGCCTGCCTCACAAGCACAAGATCCTGAGTTCAATCCCTGTACCAAAAAATAAAAAAAAAAAATACTTTTTTTGTTTTATTTTGTGGTTTTTGTTTTGTTTTGTTTTTGAGACAGGGTCTCACTATGTAGTTGAGACTGACCTGGAACTCACTATATACCCAGGCCACTTTCGAACTCACAGCGATCCTCCTGCCTCAGCCTCCCGAGTGCTGGGATTACAGGTGTGTGCTACCATGCCTGGCTTCTTTTGTGTTTATTTGCTTGTTTTCTGAGATAGGGTCTTACTGTGTATGTCACGCTAATGTGGAACTCACTATGTAGCCCAAGCTGGTTTTAAACTCATGACAGCCCTCCTGCCTCAGCCTAGAGTGCTGGGATTACAGGTGTGTGTCACCTGCCTGGCTCAAACAATTTTATTCTTATGTCCAGAAATAGCATTCTTAAAGACTGATACTTTGAACAGTTCTTGGATTAAAAGTTCATTTTTAAAAAATTACAAATACTACTGATAGTTATGATTCTACTTTTGTTGTGGTGACAGCCAAATCCAGGTGTAGGGGTAGGAGGAACTTAAAACTGGCAGCTGCCAGAAGTTGGCCAGATGCTGTGACCTATCTAAACTGTTAGCACTGGTATTGAGTACGTAGCAAGATCCTGTCTTTTGAAAACTAAAAATGTTCAATCCCCAGTAACAAAAAAGAAAAAGCTAGGCACAATGGCATACACCTGTAATTCTGGCTGAGGAGGCTGAGGCAAGAGGATTGCCATGAGTTCAAGGCCAGCCTGAGCTACCTAGCCAACCTCAGTTGCATAGTGAGACCTTGTCTCCAAAAAGAAATAAAACAAAACAAAAAGGACAGGAAAACACATTTTTGGGATAAAGTGCCATTTTAATTTTTATCTGCTTATTTTAAAACTTTATTAATTGACAGAGGTGGCAGCCTGGAGTATCTCTGAAGTTACTGCTTATGGAAAGGATATGTGCTCACAGATGACTTAACAGAAGTTGGATGCTTGCTTATATTTTTGGCTTTTTTCCCCTGCTGTAATGCTTCCATGAAATAGACATTGTCAAAATCAGATGTCATGTATTAGTCTTACAACATTCTCTGGTCTCCTTCCTATCACCCAGTAAACTTACTGTACAGGTTCCAAATAGCTTCCAAGTGATTTTGTTAAATTAGGATTCATTTATTCAATCATCAGGATTTTTTTGTGGAGGGGGGTTTGAGACAGGGTTTCACTATATAGTTGAGATTGACCTAGAACTCACTGTGTAGCTGTCTACACCCAGGCTGGTCTTGAACTCACAATGATCCTCCTGCCTCAGCCTCCCCAGTGCTGGGATTACAGACGTGTGCTACCACACCCGGCTAGGATTTTTTTTTTTAATTGTGGTCTTGCCATGTTGCTCAGCCTTTCAAGTAACTAGGATTAGAGATTCCAGGCCCTGTCTTCATAAATTAATGTTTTCTCATTAGTAATGTCCTTGCCTATTAGGACCTCACAACCTGTTTGGAAAACAGATAATGGTGATGTCTACTGATAATTTTTTTCCTTTTTTTGTTTTGTTTTGTTTTTTGAGACAGGGCCTCACTATGTAGTTGAGACTGAACTGGAACTCAGTAGGTAGCCCAGGTTCGTCTTGAACTTACAGTGATCCTCCTGCCTCAGCCTCCCGAGTGCTGAGATTAGAACCTTGTGTTTGTGAGGCAGGTGGCAGCATCACTGAGCTAAATCCCCAGCCCTTTTTCCTATTTTTTGAAAAAGGATCTCGCTATATAGTTCAGGCTGTATAATCCAGGCTGGCTTTGAACTCATTATGTAGCCCCAGGCTGGACTCAAAGTCAAGGCAATCCTCCTGCTTCAGCCTCCCCTCCAGAGTGCTGGGACTATAGGAGTGCCACCAAGCCAAACTAATCTACTGATTTTTTTTTTTTTGAGACAGGGTCTCTGTGTAGTTCAGGCTGGCTTTGAACTCACTATGTAACCCAGGTTGGCCTTGAACTCACATTTGTCCTCCTGCTTTAGCCTCCCTGCTGGGATTACAGTTGTGGGCCATCATGCCCAGAAATCTGCTGGTAATCTAGTGTGATAAAGACTGTTAAAGGTCATGCAGAGATTGTGGATTAGCGCCAGACAGAAAATACTTCTTGCATTTTATGCAGCTTAAAGGTATAACGAAAAAAAGTAATAGATTTCAACTATTACCTTGCCTACTTATTATACCCCCTGTATATTTTCATTTTATATATTATATAAGAGGTTCTTACCCATTATATTGATGAGGAAACTGAAAAGAAAAATTTTTTTGTGCAAAGTTTCCTCATAACTTTTCATTTACAAAGAAACTATTCCAGCTGAGTGTGGTGGCCCTTGCCTGTAATCCCAAAGGGGGTTAGGTAGGAGGACTGCCAGGAGTTTGAGGCCAGCCAGGACTACCTAATAAATTCAAGTTCAGCCTAAGCTACATAGTAAGATGCTGTCTCAAAAACAAAACAAAACCTATTCCAGTGGTTGTTTCTAGCAAGCCAGGAGTAAAATTAGATTATATTCTTTGTAAATAATTATCATGAATGTCAATAAACCTGGAAGATTTACTTAAAAATCATTTGACAAAGGCCTTCATATTTCTGCACCAATTACGTTCAAAAACTGTTTTATGGGTGAGAATTTATGTGCTCCTGCATTGATTATTCTTCATGCTTTTCTAATTAAGATTCATTTGGGGGGGCCAGGGATTTAGCTCAGTGGTTCCACCACCTACCCTGCAAGCAAGATTCATTTGGGGGCTGGGGATTTGGCTCAGTGGTTCCCCCACTTGCCTCAAAAGCATAAGGGCCCAAGTTTGATCCCTGCCCCCCTCCAAATACTTTTGGGTTTTGCTTCCTACTTTCAGTACACATTCAGTACCAATTACAGTCAAGCTACACCTTCATCCTTCATTGCTTTGTATACCTTAATTTATTTTATTTTATTTATTTATTTGTTTGTTTATTTATTTATTTATTTTTTTTTTTTTTTGGTTTTTTGAGACAATGACTCACTATGTAGTTCAGGCTGGCCTTGCAAACTCATGGTGATCCTCCTGCCTCTGCCTCCCCAAGTGCTGGAATTACAGACATGCACCACTATGCCCAGCTAAGATGGAAATTGTTTGCACTGAGCCTCATAGAGAACTGTCCTCCCTGAGTTAGTTGGCATATTGAAGAAACCACCAGAAAGAACCTGCAATCAGAAAGGCCCACAGATAATACAAATGTTCCCAATAAAGGGTGCTCGTATTGGGATAGGATAACAAAATAGCCCCCAAATCTCTGGTTTGCTTTGGCCAGATCTTTTATGTTCATTCACTTTATATAGTAGGTGGCACTGTGGAAATCAGGAAAGAAAAACTTCCCAAAAGGAACTTCAGATTAAGGAAAAATTAGGTTAATGTGAACACTTACTTCAAAGGCATCCTGTCCTCTGCTCTACAGCATGAACCTCAGAAGTAAGGATAAAGATCTGGGAATGTAGCTTAGTGTGACTGTGCCTGCCTGGCAAGGGCAAAGCCCCAAGTTCGATCCCCAGTACCAAAAAAAAAAAAAATGGAAAGAAGAATAATGTTTTCTGTTCTGCCGAAGTGCTGCATACATGTAATCACAGAAAATCAGGAGGCTGAGGCAGGAGGATCATGAGGTCAAGACCAGCCTGAGCTCACCTGAATCTCCAAAAAAGAGCTAGGATGGGTGGCTTGCATGTCTATAGTCCCACCACTCTGGGAGGCTAAGATCACAAGTTTGAACCCAGCCTGGGCAGTTTAGCCTCTTAGCAAGAACCTGTTTCAAAGTAAAAAAATAAAAGGGTTGGGAATATAGCTTGGTGATAAGGCCCTGAGTTCAGTCCCCAGTACTAGGAGGTTAATTTTTTTTTTAGAAAAAGCTGGGCATGGTGGTATACACCTGTAATCCCAACACTTGGGAGGCTGAGGCAGAAGGATTGTCGCAAGTTTGAGGCTAGCCTGGGATACATCATGAATCCAAGGCCAACCTGAACTATAACAAGACCCTGTCTCCAAAGCAAAAAAAAAAAAATTAAGAAAAGAATGTTTCCTTTTCTCTCAGCATTCCCCTTCCTAGCCAAACTGAACTGAGATGGAGAGAAAAGCGTCTGGAGCCTCTTGGCCAAGGATGTTTTTTAATGTGACTCAGCTCAGGAGCAGACTTCAAGTGCTGCTTTTACCTTTTCCAAAAGCTGTGGGGGTGGAAAAGACTGAGAGCTCAGCATAGACCATCCTATGACATCACTCTGAGGTCACTAATCACTCTGCCTTTTTTTTTCTTTTTCAGTGAATGAGATAATTGGAAGAGATATGTCCCAGGTTTCTGTTTCCCAGGGCCCACAAATTAGAGCGGCTTCTCACCTGAGTCCTGAGTCCCTGGATTGAGGAAGATCTGATCGGCTCTGACAGTGCTTACTGCAGCCTTGTGTCCGCCACCATTTTCTCAGCGTGTTTCTCTTTTGGACCTTGAGTTTCCAACTCTTTTCGCCTTCAGGACCGGTGCCAGGGTTGGACTCAGCATTTGTGGGGAGTGGCATTCCTCACCTCTGGCCTTGGTTAGATTTTGTAAAAGAATCAGAGCAGCATAGGCTGTTGAGCTGTGGAAAAATGAGCTTTGCATTTTTTATATTTAAATAGGATACTTTTATATGATGGGTGCTCTGAGTGTGAATGCAGCAGGCTCTCCCTTTCAGAGATGCTGCTTTTGCAGGTGGGTTGGTTGTGTAGCTAGGATTGGTGATTTGTATTTTCTGGTCATTTGACGGGCCCTTTAGTTTTGATACTTTAAAAATAGGAACTTTTGATAAAACCTTCCACAGGCAAATGGGCAGAAAATTATTCTAAGCCCTTACATATGCCTCAGAAACTCAGCATGTGTCCTGAAGCCATAGATTCATAGGAAATAAAGCCAAATGTAGCTCATACTCTTTATAAAAGTAAACTATTGTTAGATAGAATGAGAAAAGACCATTCCATCACGGAAGTGTTGGAATATAAAGACATTCCAGAGCATAGCCTTTTTATATCTTTCTAGGTCATCTTCCTATAGTCTCCTTACTGGCTCCATGTTGAAACTGCTTTTTTTCCTTCAGGACTTTAGGCAAAATGGCTACATCTAAGGTGACTTTGAAAGCAGTCATCAAGCAGTTTTAGCTTGGAAACTTTAAAAATTAGTGCTCATTAGTGTTGTCTGGCCCCAAAACCTTTTCCAAGTGGGAATGTCTGCCTTTGGGTGTTACCTTCGAAACCAGTCTCCTGATGGTTCAGGTAGCTTTGCAGTTCTATTCTAGAGGCCATTCTATGTCAGGAGCTAAACACAAGTGAACTATGCATCAGGATGGGCAAAGAAAATGTAGGATTCCAGATGGGAAAGCTTATCTCCCATTCTGTTTACAGCCTGAAATCATTCTGGCCTACCCTGTCCCATGTGTATGAATTAAAAACCAACCTTCCAGAAGGCATTGAGGCACATCTAAAATGGGCTGGCATCATAGACCATACCCTCCACACCAAAGATGCCCTGGTGCTGCTGCTGGTGACTGACATCCAAGGCAGGGGTCAGCATAAACCTACTATCTACCAAAGGAGGTGCCCAACTTGGGCACTTTTTCTAAATCCTGCCCTTAAGCTGCCACCAGTGAGATTTGTTACTGTTTCTAGGCCTATTTCAAAATCCCTGAAGTTTGTAGTATATTTTTAAATGAAACAGTGTAATTTATTCAGGAAGTATTTTGAGTGCCTACACCTGCCAATGTGTTGGGCTGGTTGAAGATTTGATGTTATCCCGGTGGATTGTGGGGCCCTGGATGCCAGGACATTGTCTACTGAGATCAAGCCAAGCCTGAGCAAAGAGCTGTTATGTTGGTTACCATTTCCAGTCAGCTGGGTAGGAGCTGTTGATCCTGCGTGAAGTATGGTCCATGTTTTAGATTTCACCCATAAAAATAGAGAACATTCATCAAGTTGCTGTGGTCCCTCTTAGGGCTGGGTGTTTTCAAATTTTCTTTCGAAGTGGGTTATGTGTCTGAATGTGGATAGGAAGATTTGCTTCAGGGCCTTGGTTGGAAGTCCACAGCTTCCTTTGGAAGGGTAGGAGGTTGGCCTCTCAGGTAAAGTTCCAGAGACAAGGCCAGAGTTGCTTCTACCCTCTTGTCCCAGAGGTAGTCACCTCACATAGGGTCCTGCAAGACCCTCTGGGGGCGGCCTTGCTGCCCTCAAGAATAAAAGCCTCTGTGATCCAGAGTTGCTATGCACCAAATTTTGATGCCTTTTAAATACCTTGATGCCTGTAGCACTAGAAGAAATGCTTTCCTATTTAAAATAAAGTTAATTTTTAAAATAGAGCTTTGTATACTATGTAAGCAGTTTTGTATTAGCTTTGTAAAAGCTTTCATGTAAGAGTCAATATTTTTTGGCTTTATAGACAGACTTAAACTTTTGTGCAAGAGAGTGTTAAAGCACACATCCATTGGACTATGCAAATTGACCTCTAGTAGCAGCACTGAGCAATTTGGCATGTACTAGCATACACCTTCCCCTCAGATCTATGCTGTATCTTGGATTGGGGAATGGAATGAGCAGCCTTCTGCTTACTAGTTACACAGAAAAACATGGCTGAAAATAGCTTTAAGAGGAACAGACACTGAGTTTGCATGCAGTGCTGCTGCCCAAGGGAACACCCACCCACATCGAGGGCCAGCCATTACACCAGACCTATTGCTGTGAAGCCGTTTGTGATATGCAGAACAGATCATCTTTAAGGCTCAAGTTGAAACCTTGTATTTTATAAAATGGATGTTTTTAGTAAAGAAACTGGTTCTCAGTTATGTTTACAGCACTTGGGGTTGTGTTTTCTTGTACATTTATATTTTAAGACCTTTTATAGGAGTGCATTGCTCCTTATACAGATACAAAGGGAAGAGGCAGCAGTTCAAGCTCTGCCTGTTATAGTGCTGAAATAATAAATGGTAACAGATTGACAGTCCCTTTGAAATGTGTTTTTCTCTGCCTGGGGATAGTGTGGATCCCTTCACTGTGGGGCCAGAGTTAAGAGCACTGGGACTTTTAAAAAGTCCACTTGGTCAGGAAATTTTGTTCATTTTACATAGGAAAGAGTAAAGTTCCAAATCCCTTGCAAGGCTTGAGTTCTGCACCCTTTAATAGGTATAAAGGACATTCCATGATGTTTGCTGAGTGCAGGACAATTGGCCTTCCCAAGGTATTGGAAGAAAGTTGGCTGAAAAGCTGGGCTGTGGGTTGTGCCTATAATCCCAGCTGCTTGGGAGGCTGAGGCAAAATCACAAGTTCAAGGCCAGCCCAGACAACTTAGCAAGAGCCTGTCTCAAAAAGGACTGGGGATGTAGCGTGCACAGCATGAGCACTTGCCTAGTATGCAGCAGACTCTGGGTTCAATCCCCAGCACAGAAAGGGAAGTGGGTGTGGAGAAGCTGGCAGAAAGTCTCCTTTAAAATTCAAGCCTGAGTTGGGCCAGGGAATTAGCTCAGTGGTTCTGCCGCCTGCCTTGCAAGCATAAGGTCTGGAGCTCGATCCCTGGTACCAAAAAAAAAAAAAAAAAAAAAAAATTCAAGCCTGAGTTTTCCCATGGGGGCCTCCTGCCCCCTAGTGTTCTCTAGAGATTCTGCAGCACAGTCCAGAATACTTTATGGTTTTGCCACCTTGTGTTTCTTGGGCCTAGCTGGAGAGGGGCTGGCATCCTTGGGTGAGGCCACCCCTGTTACAATATGGTCTCTGAAATTCAAGTATCCTAAGGACAGCAACTAACTCTGCCTTCCTACCTCCCACAGGAGAGGATGGGAAGAGATGACTGGGATCCTTACTCAGACTCAGATGAATCCTGGATTCTCACAGAAATCTCACATTGAAGGCACCAGGATTTAGCCTATCAGGCCCACCATGGGTATGGGCCTATACAGGACAGATCAAAAGCTCCCCAGGCGCCACTTGAGACCCAGCCATGCTGCTGGGAGCAAGATATTCCCATTCCACCTCCAGCCTTGCATTCAGGGTAGCCATCTTTGAGATGGAAAAACCAGAGAAATAAGTAGGGGATGGAGCCGGGCTTGGTCTTCTCTGGGTGCCTTCTGAGAGCTTTGACAAGCCAGAAAGAAGCCACTGGAGTGAAGGTACTCTGGATGCAGAAAAGGTATGGTAACTGAAGACATCAGCTAGCTCTTAGTTCCTGGCTTCCTCACCTACAAACACACCCACTCCTTGGGGGCTTGTAACACAGGGCGAGGTGGATCACCAACAGGCATCAGAGTGGTATAGTCATCAGGGGCCAGCTGCAAAAGGGACACAGACTTAGGATAGGGAGTTCCAGGGTCAGCCAGGCCCTCAAGCCCTCCAGCCATCCAACCTCACCTGGTAGGCCTGGAAGACATTGAGCAGATCCTTCATGCCAGCTGTGTAAGGGACACCCTGCATTCGAATCAGGGCTCCTGGCTGAGACAACACTGAGGTGGAAGTAGAGCCCAGGGCAGTAGGGGGTGTTGCAAGGTAGCCCACTGTGGTAGGGGAGACTGGGGGGCTAAGGTTAGAAAGACGGGTTTAGTAGTACATCCTACTTTGAGCTCAGATCAAGACCCCTCCTCTTTTCCCTCTGCCTTGTGTTAGTTTTTCCTAAAATCCCTGCCTCTAAACCACCATTCCCAATCTATTTTGCAGATCACATTAGCCAGCCCACACCTGTTTTTTCCCCTTTATTCTTTTATCAGAATAAAAGTCTAGTAGGTCTTAGCATATCTGGCTCAGAAAGGAATTGTGCCCTCCCCCAAAAACAGGTAGCAGGTCCATGGGGTTCTAGCAGGATACCTGGGGTAGTAGGCTGTGTAGTTCATGTAGAGTTGAGTGGCTGGCCCTGGGTAGTAGGCAACAGGGGTGGGGGCAGCAGGCACCCTGGCAGCTGGGAGCAGTGAAGAAGGATACAGAGCTGCCGTCTCAGTGGGAATAAGGGCTGGGGTGGCCTGGAAAGTGGCGTAGGTGGGTGGTGAGAGGCCTAGAGACAAGTAGAGAGTGCATCTGCGTGGAGTCCAGTAGGCCCTGAGTGGGGGCAGCCAGAAATGAGTCCCCTCCACCAGCCTGGCCCTCAGCCCCTGGGGCACTCACAGGGCAGCTTGCAGGGAGGAGGGGACATGCCACTGCGGCTTAAGGTTCCCCCCATCAGCACACGGCTCATGTCCTCTTTAGAACAGGGGACCACCTCGACATAGCGTTCCTTCATCATCTTCTTGTGGCAACGTTGAGCAGCAGCTAGGGCCCGCTCTGCAGATGTCATCTGGATGAAAGCATCGCCAGATGGCCGGCCCTGTGCACACCATCTTATAAACACTCTGGTGTAGAAGAGTGCCTTGCTCCTAACACACCCCTTTCTGCCTTTGTGATCCCCTCCTAGCAGCAGCCTCACCTGCTGGTTGAGCACCATATGCACACCATGGGGCCGTATGTCAGCTGCCACCTCCCCCAAAAAGCTCAGGATATCTTCAATGGTGGCTGTGTAGGGCAAGCCTCGAAGGCGCACACAGTCCCTCCCAGTCCCAGCTGCCAGTGGGAAAGGGATGGGCAGCAGTGGAGCTGTCAATGTGGGAAGAAGTGGGCTGGATGCATAGCGGTTCAGGACCTAGTAAGGAAGGGAACAGGTTTGTCACCCCAAGCCACACGGGCACGTGACAACAGCTCATTGGAGGGTGGGGTCCCTGGGCACTCACCTGCTGCACCTCAGCTGCAGTGCTCCGGAAGAGTTCAATGTATCGCTTACCCAGCATGCCCTTGTGCCTTTGCAGCGCAGCCTGTGCCAGCTCCTCACAGGCAAAGAGGGCAAAGGCATCACCAGTTGGCCTGCCATCAGGGTGGCGCACAAAGAGCAGCCCATCAGCACCCCCAGTCACTGGGCACTCTGGCCCCAGGAAGCTTAGCACATCTGCTGGCCCAGCTGAGAAGGGCAGTCCCCGCAGCCTTAGGATCACTTGGTCTTCCCGTGACAGGAAACGAGCTACCTCTAGTGATGTGCCTGGGTGGGTGGCATGGGAGTCAGTGTGGGAGTCATCTGACTTAATCTGTGCACTTCCAAACCCCCACCCACACAGAAGCAGAAAGGGATGGCAGGGAGTGGGATACAGGTCAAGAAGCAAGGAACAGAGCTAGGCATGGTGGTAGATGACTATAATCTCAGCACTCTGGGAGGCTGAAGCAGGAGGATTACCAGTTCAAGCCCAGCCTAGGCAACTAAGTAGGACCCTGTCTCCAAAAATAAAAAGGGGGATGGCGTCCGGGAATGTAGTTCAGTACAGTACCTAGTACCATACAAAAAATAAGAGCAGAAGAGTTGGGCCCCACTGACAGCACACTTACCCCCTGCAATCTTCACAAACTCCTCCCCTGTTGCTTTATAGACCTGTGGGTACAGAGTAAACAGTCCGTTGGTCTCAGGCCTGCCTCAGCTTTGCCCTGCTCTACTCCCTGCCCAAAGTCTCACCTCAATATAGCGGATTCCCATGTGGTGTTTGTGTCTTTGCAGTGCTAATTCCCGCTGCTCGCTGTCCGTGAAGCGGATGAGAGCCTCGCCATTTCTGCGGCCCTGCGCGTTGAGGCAGAGTGCTACACCACCCCTACAGAGCCAGCACTGTTAGTACTTCCTGGGCAGACCTGCCCTTTTGGCTCCCCCACTCTGCCACACCCACCTGGCAATGTTGAGCCCTCTGAAGAAGCGAGCCACATCCTGGTCTGATGACTGCCAGGGCAACCCACGGGCCCGTACCACAGTCTCACTGTCCACCACATCAGCCTTGCTGCTACAGGGGCAGGGCACAGAGTCAGAACTGTCCTGCTCGTGTCACCCCCACCCTTGCTCCCACACTCACCAAGGCCCCGTCTCATATTTCTGCTTTACCACCTCGGGCTTCGAAAACAATTGACCTGAGAGGAGATGGCATGGGAGTCAGCAGGGTCTGGTGGAGGAGGTCTCCCCACCAAGCTCTGCAAAAAGAGGACAGTTGAGGGGGATGAGGAGGTGACAAAGGGGCTTACAATCTGTGTTCTTTTAGAGAAAATCACAAGTGAGCAAGAAGACTTTAAGAAAGTAATAAGTATTCACCCAACCCTGAGAGCAGGTGACAGGCAGAGAACCTTACCACTGGGTCCTTCAAGCAGGTGAAGGATGACAGCCACCATTGTCTTTACTTCCCAGACCCCAAAATCATCCTCTGTGGCATCTGTCTCTAGTCCCAAGTCTATGAGTAGAGAAGTGACAAGAAATCCCAGTGTAAGACATACTGGGGCAACCGGCATGAGCACTATGTTCATAACTGGGCCCAAGTCCTCTCCACAGACACATACAGAATCCCAGCAAACAAACATTTACTGGTTTTCACCCAGTTCATGCATGCACATGCAGGTCCCCAGCCCAGACAGAGACATAGCCCCACATTCCAAATGCATTCCAGCACAGACACAAGCACAGGTACCCTCCAGGATTCAGCAGACAATGCAGACTTAGTTTTGTTCTATAACCCACCCAGCAGCATGCACATGCTCAAACACACAGACTAGCCATCATAACCCTGCTGGGACAGATACCCTGCGCCATGGTGGCCACTGTGAGGTCCCTGGCAGAGCAGGTGCTCGGGTGCTGCATATGGAACTCTCTGCGGAGGTCGTAGAAGGAGAAGAAGGTGTCGGGGAGCACCAGATTCTGGGGGTATACAGGAGTGGGGATGAATGGGGGAAATGAGGTGTCCTGCCTACCCCCACTACAATGGGGGCCTTGGGAACCCTACCACCCATCGTGCCCTCAGTGGCATACCTTCCTGGAGGCCTCAGGATGCAGGACCTGTCGCAACAGCTGCTGCCCATCAGTGCAGAGCACATAGGGGCCTCCACCCAACAGAGCCACATCCCTGTTCACCAGCTGTGAGAACTAGGGAAAGGGAGTAAAGTGAGAGACTCAAAGACACACCTGAGCAGGCAGGAACTAGGGTAGAAAGATGCAAGTTGCGAAGCTGGTTCAACCAGATGTTCAGCCCTACCCAGCCTGGGGATGAAAGGCCACACCTACTAGGCCTGGCTCTGTGTCCTAGCCCAGCAAACCCACACCCCATCCCAGCCCACTGTCACCTCCTCCAGGCCAAACGAGGGCAGCCAAATATAACCCAAGCCCCCCTCACACACTACAGGAGTCTGAAGTGGGGCCAAAGCAAACACCTGGTGGAGTCAGACAAGCAGGTGAGAAGAGGCGAGGCAAAACAGGTTAAACCTGTCCCTGACCTGGCACCACCCTTAGACAGGTGGGGGAGGCCCAGGCCTGCCTGAAGGCCAGAGGCTCATGGTCAATGGCAGCCCCGCCTCCAGGTCTGACCAACCGCGGCCAGAGAAACTCCAAGGACAGGGCTCCACACTTGGACACCAGGGACAGCATGAGCTTTGACCCACAACCTATCGACCGGCTGGCACTGAGCTGTTTGCTCATAGAGGGGGTGCACTCCAGAGGCTGCCCAGCCCCTTCCCCAGGCTCATCCCCAATGGAGAACCTATTTAAGCGGTATAAGCCCTAATCACCGATTGGAGAACCGCCACCACCATCCCTGCCCCAACCAATTCTGGACACCTTACAACCTGATGCATCCAGCTCTTCTTTAGCACCCTCCCCAAGTGAGAACTACGCTGGGTGCTGTTCTGGAACAGACCAGATTTGGAACCTTTGTGTTTCCTCATCAAGAATCACCAGTTGGAAGATGAAAGAATTTGCATGTAAAGCACTTATTACACTCCAAAGCTAGTCAGAGGGTGAGTGTCACAGTAAAGACAAGGCAAAACAGCAATGGAAGCCACCTCCCACTTCAGCCAAGGTCGGGAGGCACCCCAGGCCTTTATACTATTTTGCAGGTAGCCCCCAGGCAGGGTAAGGACAGCACCCACGCCTGGCCAACCGGCCGGGACAGGCCTGGACGGGCAGCTCACACCTGGCGGCGTCTGCCCCAAAGGCCGACACCGCCTGCCCTACGCCCCCGCGCTCCACCAGCGTCCAGGCTGGGGCGAACGTGTGATCGGTCACAGGACGCAGGTGGCAGGGTCCAGTGACCTATGGCCAAGTCCAGACCCCTTGATCCTTTTGTTTCTGACTGCTGCTCTCCTAGATTTGATCTGGCAGGTTCTCAGGGAGTTTCAACCTCCTTTCCCCGCTGGCTGGGGTGGATCCCACAGCCGCCATCCCCACCCCCTTAGCAAAAGTGTGTATCTGTAAAGGTTGAAAAGCAAGGCGCCATCAGAATGGCCGGCGTACACAGGCACATGTACACGCGAGAGTCAAAGTTTCAAACAAGACCCTGTCCTACCGCCCCAGCCAGTTGGTCCCGGCGCGCCAGGCCTTGCCTCCTTCCGACTCTCTAGCCGAGAAACATCCCGGCGGCCCCGGCGCTCACCTGCTGAAGCACCTTGTCCAGCGACTCGGCCCGCGCCAAGCTGTCGGCGCTCAGGCCGCTCGCCTCGCGGCACTGCGGACTCAGCGCAGCCGCCTCAGCTCGAACCAGCGATTTGTGCAGCGTCCCCACCTGCGAGCGGTAAGGAAACTGATCAGCCGCCGCGCCCTTTGGGCCCTGAAGTTTCCTGGCGACTCCTACTAGCTCCTTTCTAGCTTACCTGGCGGCTTCGCGGCTCCACCACTTGCCATACTAGGAGGATTAAGTCGGTCTCATCGGAGCCCAGCTCCGGCCCCAGCGCACCGGCCGTAGCCCCGAATAGGACAACCAGAGATCCTGACCCGGGGCAGGGG